AGGGGAAGTTTGTCTGCAAAAATAAGACAAATTGCAAAAAGAAAGTTTGGCCTAGCAACATTTAAAATTTGAACAGAGAGTTCTGATTTCCCGCTGCTGTTCTGCCTTTGATCTCTCCATGACATCAGCTTGAAGAAATGTCACAGAAGCTGTGCGCATCAAAGAGGGCTGTTCCCAGTACTGTCCGCCGCTGCTGCAAATTGTCCTCACAAGAGACTCCACAGTGCATCTCCAAAATTATCATGAGTGCCATCACCAAAGCAACCAACTTCTCAAGCCAGAAGAAGAGGAAAAGGTGCCCTATCTCCTAAGCTTGTATGGCCTTTCGCTGCTGACCCCACTGTCGCTGGGCTGTTCAGGATATTGGTGAGATAGCAGCAGACGTGGCATTCGGTCACTGAACAGAAACGATTCATGCAACACTTAAATGTTTGTAAGACAAAATGAAATGTAAAATGTTGACCGAGTTTTCTAGCTTCAACTACTGCCGGCGTTCTGAGACCAAATGAGCATTTCTACCATTTATACTACACATACTTAGCATACTGTTACATGCATAGTTGCTAAAACAGACTATTGTCTAGGACACTGTACCACTATTTTTATAGGCTGCTCTTTGCATACTTGATTATTGATTTCTTAATTCTTTTGGAAATTCAAGATCTTTTTTTTCTCTTTTATATGGTTTCTAGTTAAGATCTTCTCTGAAAAAATGAGAATAAACACATTTTTAAAATCTTCCTTTCTGTCTGGTTTACTGTGTGACACTTTGGATACAAGTCCATGCTGCTTTAACCACAGACCACAAAATTCCCTTGTTACAGCAGCACAAGGTAGAAGTTGAAAGGATAAATTAGGGATGTATTGGAAAACAATAAAAAAATAGAAAAAAGAAAAAAGGTTTACAACAACAACAAAAAACCGCCTGGCCAGAGGATGAAGCTTGCCCTGCCTTCTCCTTCTAAATGAAGGTTAAAAAAAAAACCCCCAAAAAAAACCTTCTGTCCTGTGAATAGGGGTCTTGTTCCCTAGAATAGACCCCTCCCCTCGGGAACAATTATTTTTCACAGGACGGAAGTGGGTGCTCTGGTTTCATTTGCAGTTAATCTTCTGGACAGGTTGCCAGTCCATCACAGGGTTCATGCAGAAAGGCCCCAGCTGACCAAGAAGCTCATAAACTGCTTGAAAAAAGTTTTATCTCAACAGCTCAAAAAGGTGCTCAGTAGTTTGTATGGCTGGGCACTGTCATGCACCAAGAGGATCCCAGGACTCCCTGCACCAACTGTAGGGTCTGACAGTTGGTCCAAGGATTTCATCCTGATATATTATGGCAGAAAAGGTGCTGTCCCCCAGCCTGAGGAGTTAAATGCCAACTGGACTCCACAGTACCTGGCAGTGAGTTCAGGGACCAGTAAAGGACATCACCTCATGTTATCAGCAATTACAGCCCAAAAAAAAAAAACACCTAGAAAAAAAGTCCAAAAAGATGATGAGGGACAAATGTTTTTACAGGCCTCCACCTGTAAAAACCATTCCTGTTTTGGGGGTTGTCTCACTGTTGTCTCTCTTGTGCACCTGGTGTTAATTTAATTGACACCAGAGCATCTAAAACTTTAACTCACTTGATGATGCTACTTTCTGAATAACAGAGTCAACTACAAATGACTTCTTTCAGCTTGGCCAAAATGTGGACATCTCCCCCTCCTCCCCAGAGTTATCTGGGAAGTGGTCTGACCTCAGACCACTTCCAGGGTAACCACAGGAGCTCAATGACCCTGAGACAAAGTGCATACACAGAAGAGGAACATTTAATACCTTTAAACTCTGTCGAAGGTATACTTCAGTTCCAGTGGGTAGGTTAGGTTCAAAATGTACATAAGTCCAAACAGCATAGCAGCTGCTAAGGCATAGTTATCCAAGTCCTGCAAGAGTCTCTGGCCTTCAAAGACTATCCGGATGTCCTCGGGGCTGTCACTGGCATCTCTTGACTTTATGATGTAGATACCCATGGTTATTTCCTCAATACAGTGGCTTGCAAAAGTATTCGGCCCCTTGAACTTTTACACATTTTGTCACATTACAGCCACAAACATGAATCAATTTTATTGTAATTCCACGTGAAAGACCAATACAAAGTGGTGCACACGTAAGAAGTGGAACAAAAATCATACCTGATTCCAAACATTTTTTTTTTACAAATAAATAACTGCAAAGTGGGGTGTGCGTGATTATTCAGCCCCCTGAGTCAATACTTTGTAGAACCACCTTTTGCTGCAATTACAGCTGCCAGTCTTTTAGGGTATGTCTCTATCAGCTTTGCACATCTAGAGACTGAAATTGCCCATTCTTCTTTGCAAAACAGCTCCAGCTCAGTCAGATTAGATGGACAGCATTTGTGAACAGCAGTTTTCAGATCTTGCCACAGATTCTCGATTGGATTTAGATCTGGACTTTGACTGGGCCATTCTAACTCATGGATATGTTTTGTTTTAAACCATTCCATTGTTGCCCAGGCTTTATGTTTAGGGTCATTGTCCTGCTGGAAGGTGAACCTCCGCCCCAGTCTCAATCTTTGGCAGACTCCAAGAGGTTTTCTTCCAAGATTGCCCTGTATTTGGCTCCATCCACCCTCCCATCAACTCTGACCAGCTTCCCTGTCCCTGCTGAAGACAAGCACCCCCAGAGCATGATGCTGCCACCACCATATTTGACAGTGGGGATGGTGTGTTCAGAGTGATGTGCAGTGTTAGTTTTCCAAGCTAAAACTCAGTGGAGATTTCAGCTGTGTGCCGGTGATTGGACATCAGCCGCTGATAAAGTGGGTTCACCTACAAAGTGCTCTGTAGGGAAACAAGCTCCAGCAGCTCTGCACTCAGGAAACAAACTATATTTACTTATCTTGTGCAGAATAATGCGCAGGCATTGCGTTATATCGAGCACCGGCTGTCCAGTTAAACTGTGACCATCACCAGGTAACCTGGGCGTGTTTCTTGAATTAGCAGCAGGTGTTAAACAGCTGACAGGTGAGCAGGATGTATGCAGGTAACTCGAGGGCCGTTGAGCTGATCGCTAGTGTCCTGAGGAAAATGTCAGCTCGTTATTTAACACAGAGACACAGCCACAATCATCTAAGCTTTAGATGATTAAAAAGTTTTTTTAACCTAAGAACAAGAAATGGCAGATTCCCAAAAACTGCTGTAAAAAAACTATGCAATAATGTTTTTTTCCACTTTAAATCACTCAGTCTTTTAAAAATACTTCAGCCTGAACCGTATATATTAAATATTAATTACAGTTTGGAGATTTTAACCCTTTAAAGGCCAGTATGTTTACATAACTCCATTGATTTTTATTGAATCCCCCCAGCCAAACAAAAACAATTTCCATAAAAAACATTTCAAGATGCATTTGATCATTGTTTTTATTAGGCCCAGAGATGGGCCAGTGATATAGCAGCGACATTCATTTTCATGCATTTCTATTTTTTCTGCAGTGTCAGATTTTTGTTTTACAAAAAACGATACTCCAGGTCCTAACAACAAAAAATGCCACCTTCCCAAAAACTATTATATAGTAATTTTTTCCCCCCACTGACACAGTCTTTTAAAACTTCAGCCTGAATTATAAGTTTAAAATATTAATTACAGATTTTGGATTTTAACCCTTTATAGAAGAATTTTAAATGTAAAAGAAATTCTCTGGCAAATATGGGATATATTCATTTAGCACAGCCAAAATAGCATGAAATGATCTTCCACTGTTGTCCCGATTCATTGTTTCATTCATTTTTCTTCTTATCAACAGAAAATTTGCAGACATTGAAGCATCAAAACACCAGCTTTGGCATCCACTCTTTATTTTAAGGATGAGGACAAAGGCATGTCCTCTCTGTCATCACACAAGCCAGATTCACCTGACCAGTCTGGTAATCCATCTAAAAGTGGTGGTCCACAGGATGCCGATAAAAGCAGCCTTCGAACAGGTACAGATGGCACCTCAAAGTCTATCAGTGTCACCACCTGACTTACATGAAAGTCAAGTAAATACAAAAAGGAAGCAGACTGAATCAGGGCATCTTTGGAAACATCACTCCAAATCGCAGTCCTCCACCTGCAGAGCTACGGCGAACAAACAGAGCAAGAGGAGGCAGGAAAAGGGAAGCAGAGGTCATAAACCGGTGGAAATGAAACCTATTAGCTCCCCAAGAAGTTTTGACTTGTACCACGGGGCTGAATTGTTTTATTTTTACAACAAGAGTCAGCCGACAACTTATTTTTTGAGTAGTGTATATATTCAATTGCGGGCGCCTTTCTGTCGCACTACAGCAAACTGAAACCGTCCCACGTCCATCCACTGGAGGCGCTGTGGTGCTGCAGCAGCAGCAACACGAGCATCAAAATTCAAGTGTCGGCTCTGTCTATGATGTTAACAGTCAGATCGTAATGGCGACTGCTGGAACAGCAGACATGGGATCAGCAGCCCCGACAGGTATCTAGCTATCAAATCTCCTTCCTTTCTCGTCTCAAAACTAGCGTAAAAAGCGATATCTACAGTGTTTTAAAGCATTGAAAGTGATGCAACGCTGGAGCTCTGGCTGTAATTGAGCCTTCGCTAGCCGTTAGCTAATTAGCATCGAGATTTTCCACCAAAGAATTGAACCAATCTGTGGTTCGCTTATTTAGCTGGCTCTTTAATAAATCCTGGTCTTCTCGTGTTAAAACACAAGAAGATTTTGTGTGCAGGCCACTCTTAAATATGAGGAACAATCTATTGATTTTATAGCGTGCTATAAAGTAATTCCCGACACCACGTTGACCAAACTGTTTTGTTATCAAACCGGCTGTCCTGTTGACGCTTTATGGTGTTTACACGCAAACGAAGCAGGTGAAGGCGAGTTGAGATTTTATAAATAAAGATCGCCGTTGCTTGGTAAATGAATGGGACGTGTGTAATACTGCTGGTGTTGACCCCCCC